TAGCCGACGAGGAGCAGAGGGTGCGGTGTCGTCAGTGGGTCTTGTTGCTCCATCTCATCGTCGTCGGTGGCGAGTCTGTTGATCGAACACTACTGGTCCATGTGCTCTGGCTGACTAAAATGCTCATCAAGGAATTGTAAGTGCAGCGCGGGACGGAGAGGGGGAGGAAAAGGATGGCAACGGCGATGATGACGGGGATTGTATGGAGCGGAGGCTATCAGGTGCGCGCCGCGCGGCACGGATTTCCGAAATTCGTTCCTCGCCATGGCCAATGGGGGCCAGCGCAGCGAAATTTAAAACCGATCGACACGGTGACTTGTGATCTTTAACGCAGCTGATGGTGGAGGAGGAAGGAAAGAAGATTGAAGAAAAAGAGATAGAGCGAGAGGGATGATGGCCCTTTCATCCCTTACCGCATGATTCCAGAGGTTGCACTTTCTGCACTTCTCTCTCTCTCTTTCTCTCTCTCTCTCTCTTTCTCTCGCCGAAGCTTCAAGTATACGATGGTTTCTGGTCAGTAGCGGGAAGTGCGAGAAAAGTGCAGCTTACCGAGAATCTCGATTGACCTTAGATTTCCTCGACAACCGCGTACAATGCAGATCAACATATGCGTTCGGTCATAAATCTCACAAATTTATTGATCAGTTTTGATTTCTCATGTAATTAAGATCGGCCGGGCGATACGTGCATCTTGCGGCAACGCGTCCCCTCTCCGTCCTGTGACTCAAGGACACGATTACGTTATTCGTTGATTTTCCTCGTCTCCTTGCCTTTCGATATGTAACGCTGACATAATTCGTTATTTGTCTGTTACAGCCGTGTCACTCTGCCCCTCACAGTGGAAGAGGTACGTGTCTGATCTATCGCAGGAGTCTTGCTCCTTGTAATGACTCGGTTTGAGATCTACCTGGATGTTAGATTGCAAAAACAGACAGTTGAAATTAATCTTAGCATTGCCATGCAATCAAGAAAATTCACCAATCATCTAATTGTCCTCTGCATGGCAAATGTGCCTAGCTGAGTACTTATGTAGAGTTATCTTGCATAAACAATGCTAAATTTGTAATTAGAAGCCTTTTTTATCACACAAAGACACAAGTTTCTTTATTATTATTTATTACTTTATTATTATCTGTCACTGTTTAAACTATTGTTTCTATTTTTCTATTCGTTATCTATTTTTCTCGGGGTATATAATAAAGTGATGTCCAAGAGAGATATATCTTAATAATAGTGTGATTATCATTTTATTTCAAGTATCAATTCAAGAAATAGATTCACATTCTACATATATACGATGGACTTTAAATCCTTTCTTTTTTTCTTATATTGATGAATTAAAATAGAAACTCAAATCAAAAAAATTAAATGAATAAATGGTTCTCAAAAAAAAAACAAGTCAAAGTACACGTATAAATTATATAACGATTTTAATCTACCTTGAAAGTTATCAAGAATCTATATATATTGTTTCCTCCTTAACAGTATCAAGTAGCTCAACTGTATTCTGTAGCAGAGGCTAGTAAAAATAATACAGGCGGTGGAGAAGGCATTGAAGTATTGAAGAATGAGCCGTTTACGGATTATCCGTTACTCGGTGGAAAGTACTCGTCAGGCCAATATACATATAAGATTTATCATTTAGCTAGTAAAGTGCCTGCTTTTATTCGCATTTTACTGCCAAAGAACTCGCTAGAAATCCATGAAGAGGCTTGGAACGCTTATCCCTATTGTAAGACAGTCATAACTGTGAGTGTTACGCATTTATACACATATACAAGATATTAAGTTTAAATATATTCGTAAACGTTACTTTGATTTTTCCGTAGAATCCAGGGTACATGAAGGATAATTTCGTGATTATGATAGAGTCCTTTCATATTGGCGACGTCGGCAATCAGCATAATGTAAGTATCATTGAGTTTGGCAAGTATTTTTAGTTATTTATGTGTTTCCTTCTTACGAACAGGTTCACGAATTGCCACCCGATAAGCTTAAGATCAGAGAGGTAGTGCATATAGATATTGCCAATGATCCGGTTGCAAGTGCCGATTACAAGGAGGATGAGGATCCGTCTAAATTCAAGTCCCAGAAGACAGGACGGGGTCCTCTCGTTGGGAAGGATTGGAAACATAATGTTCAACCTGTGATGACGTGCTACAAGCTAGTCACTTGTGAATTCAAATGGTTCGGTCTGCAGACCCGCATCGAAGGATTCATTCAAAAGGCGGAACGGCGCCTGTTTACCAATTTTCATAGGCAAGTGTTCTGCTGGATAGATCGTTGGTACGGTTTAACCATGGAGGATATTAGAGCAATCGAAGACAATACGAAAGAAGAATTAGACAGGGTAAGAATTTTACTTTTTTCAATTCTTCTGTTTTTAACCTTCCAGCGGGTGCGCGCGCGTTCTCCGTACACGCGCGCCGATTTTATAGAGGAGGTACAAATAAAATCTATTTTTTGGGTCTCGGCTTCCCAAGATATTCCTTCAATGTCTTTCAGGCCGTTGATTCGCTCAGGTCGCGTTCTATTAGTGTATATTGTTTACGTAGAATCGATTTTTAAGATATCAAGGCATTTTTCTAGAAAAACATTCCTATGGAGAATATACAGGAATCGCTCAATGGTGAAAAGCGAGGGAGGTGCAAGTTGTGCAAAAATACAACCATCATCCTCAAATGCAACAAATGTTTTCATTTTACTTACGAAAAACATTCGACGACAATTATTATTTATAATAATTATAATAAGACTTAAAGCGAATAAAACTTTTTTTCATTAATCTATTTTTTAATATAAGGTAACACCTATTTTTTTAAATAAATGATTATTTAGATATCATAAACTTTCATCGCATAATATTTATTTGACAATATTATGCTTTAACCTTTCGAATTTTTAGTCTTATTCTGCGTTCTCTGTACACTGGCGCGCCCGCTGTAAGATTAATTATTAAATCAATTATCTTGTTTTGTGCGAATCTTCTACATTCGTTTATTTTAAAAGTCGGAAATTTCGTCCGTTTTTGAAATGTTTTTTATATGTTCAATTACAGCAAAGACATCAAGGTGAAGTACGGGGTATGCGAGCTGATGATTGAGGCTTCGATAGCTTCTATTATGAACGGTTAAATCAATTTCCTTATACATGTCAACACAAATACAGACGCATACCTACAGATGTACACCCTGTTACGCTCTGTCATAGACGATTCCACAGGATTCGGACGATTTCTGGAATTTACGTGTCTAGATTCAGTGTCTATTACAAATTACTTACAATTTTAATTTATTTTACATTTACAAGCGTTTTAGATAAATGTATCTACAGTCAAAGATTATAATGTAGTTATTATTATAAAAGAAAAAGAAACAAATAGAAGGAATCAGAATCTTCTGGTTCTTTTGTTTAATGCATAATTATGAAAAGAATCTGGTTTCGTGAAAACCATCATAGATAAAAACGTTATGATTACTTAACAGCAATTCGTAGTTCGATAATAATAGATATTGGAGTTCATGATCGACAAAATGCTTGCTGCAAAGTACATAAAAAAAAAAAACAGGAAATAATGTGATTTAACATCGCGAGTTTGATCGTAGTTTAATAGTTAAAAAATTCCACAGTTTAATATATTAATGTACAATTGAAAATCTAAATGTTGCATATTAATGATCTGTATCTCGAACTATTATTTCAACTGAAAGTGTGATGTATTAGATTGTGTATTTTCGAAAGAAAGCTCGAGAGTATTTTCTCAATTCTACGAAAGTGTATATGTGATCAGGAGGATCGATTTGAAAAATTCTAAGGATCTTAAATGTATATCTATTGTTATTTCATGGGATCTCTCTACGATCCCACGAGGCAAGGTACTACGGTAGATTTCAATCTATAATGTTCCTCTATTCTTTCATTATGTTCGTTATCAACGAGCGCGAGACGTGTATATGTACCTATTCCCTAAAGAGTTAGGACCAAACTGATGGATTTTTTAATTATACTGCGATGCTAACAATAATGTTATTAACATATTACACTCTAAATTGTTTACTGAGGACGGGGAGATGATGTATTCTATGTAAAGTGCTCACACCGATATACATATACACACATATGTAGAGAAGCAGAGTTTAGGCTATTTCAATATTGGTGACAGTGGGTGAACGGCGAAAGAGTGCGTTATTGTATATATATAAAAAGAAAGAGGCATACACAATGAAATTCAAAGTATACATATATATAAATGTTTCTTTTGCATTCCAATGGATCTCTTAGTACAACCGACAAAGTATTCTGGAACGCTGCTCGTAACCTGTTACAGACTATGCGATCATTCTTAAATTTTAATTTTTTTTCTTCAGTATGTAAAAAAATATTGTGACAAAAAAAGATAATTTTGTAACTATCTCATTCATAACAAGAGCAAAGCTCGTTATATACGAGACATTTTAAAGTTTATTTTGAAAATAATTACATTTATTTTCACTGAATTGACTCCTAGAATGAAATGAGAGTAAAGTAGTCTTTTAATGGGTTGGAATCGCAGCAGCATTCTCACCTAGTAATAGGATCTACATATAATTAAATATACGATTAAAGATTGAAGAACAGTAACGAGAAGTATATAATTTAACTGTCATTTGCACAAAGTAAATGTATTCTCTGTATTTTCTCGTTGGAAGGCATGTAGTCTAAGGTAGCTTTTATCTTCGTATTCATGTACGAACAGTGGTAGTCGCGACAGTGCACATAGTATTTGTACTCAATGTATCAGACACATACGAGAAAACAGAGAAACATGGGCACGTATTTATTCACCATTTTATCGACGAGAGAAAACCGATCGAAATAAGGCACATCTGTGTCGTTCAAACAAGCTCGTAACTTTAATGGAGTCCGTCTTTGTTCCACGACTTCGTCGTTCGTTTTGTTAAATATGAGAGTTTCACACATGTACGCGGTTCGTATTACACTTGTTATCCTATGATAATAGTTATTTAAATAGATTCGCTGTAGCTGCTCTTCTAGATGTACAAGCAGGGTAGAAAAAAGATCGTGGATAGATAGAAAAAAAGAGTCAAGGAAAAAAATTCCGTATCGCTGCCAAAGGGCTAATAGTGAAATACCAGATGTGTATGTGTATATATGTATATATGCACGTGTATATGCGTTTTATTTTCTTGCATACTTACATATATGCGTATGTGTATGTGTGTGCGCGTATGTGCGTATGTCTCGATCCAGTCAAGTATTTAGCCAAGAGTTAATAAAATTAGAAGGCATAGCATATGAAATTTATTTCCACTTTTCTCTCCATATAAAAATATAATTAATATATACATATATATATACAAAATCTAATATTAGATGCAATACGTACAAAATACATTTTGCTCTCTCTTTGGAATATATAAAAGAAAGATACTGAAGCATTATCTTACGTGAGTGAGTCGTGCGATCTCAATTGAGGCCGTACTCTTTGATGAGATTCGCAGCGATCACAAGTCTCTGGATCTCCGATGTGCCTTCATAGATTTCCGTGATACGCGCGTCCCTGTAATAACGTTCCGCCGGCATATCCGACACGTATCCCATCCCTCCCAGAATCTGTAAGCACTGATGAGCGCAGAATGTGGCGGTTTCCGATGCTGACAATTTGGCCATAGCGGCTTCCTAGCAAATAAGAAATTATTTTGACAGTAGATCAAGACAACGAGAGAGCCAGATCGCAGGTGTGTAAAAATTTACTTGTATCGTGATATCAACTTCGGACTTTTCTTAGTTTGCAACTGAGGAGAATGTAAAACAGATGGACACAAGAGTTTGGCAAAAACCGAACTTCGATATAAATTTTTACATCTGCAAACTGGCACTCATTAAGCCTTCTACTTGAGATCTTATACTCGAAAGATCTGTTCATTTCCTGTGGAAATTACCTTATTTTTTTCTCGTTTAAAAATGATTTTATTGCTTTGATCTGTTACTGATTAAATTGATTAAAGCTTATGCTATCGTGACTACTTAAAAATTTTTTCTATGCATTCATAGTAGCGCGCTTACCTTGTCCGATAAGATACATAAAATGTAATCATTAGAAAAATATATGGAATAAGATTACAATTTTAATATTACAATATTATACATAAGATAAGAATCCAAAACAAATTCGGCCGTATTATCTAAAGTGAATATTTTACTAAAATGAATTATTATTTATCTCCAAATATTTATAACACACCTTTGTGTACGGTTTACCACTATCCTTAAGTTGAGCCGCTCGCCACGTCAACAGTCTTGAACTTTCCAATTTTAGAGCCATATCAGCGATTTTTTGTTGAATCGTGTGCAACTTGATGATCGACTGGCCGAAGGCTTGGCGTTTGGACGCATAATCCATTGCGCAATCCAAGGATGCTTGAGCTATGCCCAACGCTTGTCCAGCGATTCCTATTCTGCCAGCATCTACAAAGAGAATATTACGTTATATTTGAATAATTATTACTCATAAAAATCCGTGTAATGATTGTCACATACCTAGAGCCATCATTGCGATTTTAAAGCCCATCCCTGGTTTGCCTAAAGTGTTATCTTGCGGCACTTCACAGTCCTCGAAGATCAGGGAGCAAGTGCTGCTACCTCGTATACCCAATTTGTCCTCTTTCTTACCCAGGCTCAGGCCTGCTGTCGGACTGTCCACTAGGATAGCGCTTATACCTTGGTGCTTCTTGGATTTGTCAGTCGTCGCAAAGAGAACTATTGCACTGGCTTCGAACGCATTTGTTATCCACGACTTGGTACCGTTAATCGTATAAACGCTGCCGTCCGCTTTGGCAGTGGTAGACGCTGCACCAGCGTCAGACCCATTACCTGGTTCACTGAGAGCAAAACAGCCGATCTTCTCACCGCTCATATAGGGAACAATGTATTTTTCTTTCTGTGTATCAGTCCCGAATGCGTCTATAGGGCCTAAGAAGAGGGAATTTTGCACACTCATTATAACTCCAGCACTTGCACAACCTCTAGAGATTTCTTCCATAGCTATAGCATAAGCCAAATAATCTAGTCCTGTTCCATCTAGTGCTTCAGGGATGCATAAACCCATAAGACCCAGTTCGCCCATCTTCTTGATCTGCTCCTTTGGAAAAAGATGTTTTTTATCAGACTCTGCTGCGATAGGTTTTAATTCCTCCTCGGCGAAGTCTCTGCAATTACAAATTTTTAATAGCGATGATAAATTTTATTTAGTAATTAATTATATCTACACAAAGTAGATAGGTGTAATCTATTGCCTATACAATATTAAAATACCTGCATGTTTTGTACAACATTTTATGTGTGTCTGGCAGCATAGAATGCGAGGTAATGTGTCGGCTGACATTGACAATGCATGCACCTCTGGACACATTATTTGCTGTAATCAATATTTAATAATAATCTCTATTCTTTGTAATATTAGAAAATACTCGATACTCACCAAGTAATCTCAAGCACTGCATTGCCATTGTTTTTCGTACTGTCGTTGACGTTCGATGGAGTTGTTATAACCAAACTTTCGGACTTTGACCCGAGAAAATACAAATAATTGCACACGGTACGATATATTCATGTATATTTATCTGTAATAACTTATGTGCATATATAATATTTTTAACTGCCACATTATTATAATTATGCAGCAAAGTTTCTATCTGTTTCTGTTTGTTTACTATTATACTATACTGTTTACGTTATGATAAGTCAGATGCAGATCGTAGATCAGTCGCAGATCGTTATGGAATCTACCTATCGTCAGCCGATAAAGTTGATGTACAGAAACAAATTTAGAGTATCGAAGGCAGTGATGTATACCGAGAAGTTTTTGAGATTATAAATAAGCAAATACCATTAGATTCGTTGACAAACAAATCTAAAAATATAATAATATACTGTACAATGAAAATACATTTATCGAGTACATTTGAAATACATTTTAGTTGACCTATTATTCTATATAATCGAATGTTTTAATATGAATGAAAGATTTTCTTAAATACGTACAAAATTATACGATAATAAAAATAATCATTTAATTATTAAACTCTATAATAAAATAATACTTTAAAATCAGTTAGATTTTATCAGTTAGATTTTATGTTAATTTTCTACTGAAGTTTCCTTTCGTGTTTTATAAAAATGTAGCTTCGGTAAGATCAGGTTTTTACATAAAAAGCGTCTGCCTAAATCCGTCGCTTATCAAAATAAAAGGTGAAGATTTGATAAAAAATTCCGAAAATGGCGAAAATCTATCTCTGTTTTCGCGCCGTCCATGCGCCGACGGTGCCGATCAATATATCGTGTAGGCAGACACAAACGCGCGCACGCACGGTCGATAGCGACAAGCCCGTTCCTATTCTGCCCGTTCGGATCCTGGAATTCTGCGCTTCTGCAAGAGAAGAGTGATACTATTCTTGCACGTCGGTGAAACAACAAAAGAATCTGTCACGATGTCGAGCAGCAAGTGCGTGAAACAGCCGCGTAAGGCGTACACCAAGGAACAGCACGAGATGACGCACTCCGAGAAGCTGAGGCTGATTGACGATGAGCTGAATTCCTTTTACAAGTACCAAGTCACTTTTGACATGCGTGAAATTATTCGTGAAGTCGTATTACATTTTTGTTTTATACTTTCAACGCGCTCTTATCACCTAAAAAAGAAATTAAAAAATTTGTATCAGTGACGATAATTCCAAAATTATATAAGATAGAGACGTTTTTCCAAATCATTATTATAATCATTTTTGTAAAAAATAGATTTATGGAGAAAAATTATTTCTACAATTACGCATGATAGAAATCTTTTTTTTTTCATTACTAAGGCTGTGTTATTGTATCCAAAATTTTTTCACAGGTACTGCCAACAGGCGGGCTTCACCGAGGAAGAAATGGACATTATATGCCAGCCGCTCGTGGCGGCGATGCGTCGCTCATGGTTGCAACTCGTCTGTCGTGGCACCCTGGTACTGATAGTACTGGGTACACTGGCGTGTCTTGCAGCTCAGTTGGACTTCGTTGGTACTCATTTCACCGCTCTGAGCCGTCTGTTGCTGATAAAAGTTTTGCCAATTTGGAACTGGCAGCCGCTCTATTATGAAAACTGCATGATTAACAATCCCTTTTACAACGATTACACCATCACGGAAGAGGATTGCGTGGTATGCTTCGTATTTTCAGAATAAGAAAAATCAATCTTTGCGTTTGAGAAAGAGGTTCTGTTGCGGTTTTTAAGATGTAATATTTTAAGAGGAAATATCCAAGATATCTAAGATTTACGCTTGGATAATTGGCAGAGAATTTTCTTGTAGACCTGCGAGGCGTTGGAGACGATTGATCGTCTATCGGACGTTCGGTATCGTAATCTGGTTGACAATTACCTGAATCGCGACGCACCGGCTATCATCACCGACGCAATGGACTCGTGGGCAGTCATGAATACCGATTACTTCTGGTTTGATAATATCACCCATGTGAGTAATAAATGAATTTTGCTGCCTTATTACTATAAATGCTTAACTTCTTCAGGAATCAAATTGAAGAAAAAAAAATGTAGATAACTTTCACTTATCGAAAGTTGAATTCTCTTCGAAGAAACAAAATTGTTACAGCAAAGAATTAGCGTGATATTTGCAAAGACGATCCTATGTGAAGAAACATTATTTTTCGACGCAAACAGCTCTACTTGGAGAACGAGCGGCTGATGGAGACGGTACCCTGTGCCCTGACCTCGAATCTGCGTACTGGTTCGTCTGATCTTGCGGCATTTCTTCGACGCGTACACGCCCCCGAGGTAGCCAAGTGGTTTGTCCATTGGCAGAATTGTGACATCAACGCTGTGAAGGTGCTCAGAAAGTACTATCAACGACCGTACTTTCTCTCCAGCACGGTCTCGCCGGCGCATTTCAACTGGGTGCTCATGTCTTCGGACTACAACAGCCCGAGCTACAAGAAAGTCGAGCTCGACTCTGGTCTAATCGCTCTCGCTCAGCTCCGTGGCGCGACTCAGCTGCGTCTCACTCCTATAAATCCCTGCAACAGTTCGTGCCCTGAGTTGATCGCCGATCTGCATCAGGGCGAGATGCGTAAGTGCTGCGACTGAAATTGGACTGAAGTACGGAGCACCTTTAACAGCTCGCGATAAACCGGAGTGGCTGGCGTTCTGAAAAGGCCACACTAAACTTCTAGTGAGTTGTATAATTGTTGAATTATTTATATGTATAATAATGTAATGTATTACAAAATTTGCCTTTTAATTCTACGTGCTGATTAAAAGGTGTTCCATACTTCTGGCAAAATTGCATAACGACGGGCGAACGGAGGATTGGGCTGTAATGAATCAAATTTCCAATTGAAAATTTGCTTATTATATTAATTATCCATTTATCGGATAATTAATCTCGCAAAACGAGGATCAGCATATATGTATATATATATATTTCTCGGTCTTACTCTAAATCTAAAACTTTAGTATTGTCCGAGTATATTGTCAACCATTGCTGCGAGGAATCGATATTTCTGAATTACTTGTATTTCATCTGTGATGCATGCTATACAATTTTTCCTCGCTTTCATAGAAATTCAATTTGAGAGAATTACAATACCAAACATTTTTAATTTTACATGCCTCTTGAGAATCGAAAATATTTATTTATTGAAGACCTATCTAAAGTCGGATGAGATAAAATTAGCGACGATCTCGTGAATGCCATTAAGGTTTTACGATCTCAGATACGTATATTAAACTCACGCGTATTTTTGCGATAACGACAGCGTACGCGGCGATATTTTCTCATTGATAAATTATTCATAACATTGCTGCAGTCGTTTTCACGAACGTGATGTGGACGCTCGAGTACGCACCGATGCGTGGTCTGGACAACATCGCCATACTCACGGAGACCGTCTGGGAGGAAGACACGTAGATTATGTCGTCGTCCTGAGGAGATTGTCTTATCGTCACGCAAAATACTTTTAGTTCCACAATACTTTCCGACGTGACAGCTATATATCAATTTGATATATATTGTGTATTCATACTCCAGTACGACATACTAAATAAAGATTGAGCATTCTGTTTTCCGGCTGAATCAATTACTCTCCCGTCCATACTCAGACTTGCAGTGATATCTATAAAACGGAAAAATAACGTGGCTTAAGGAAAAACTCAAAAGACGAACCAATTAGCGATGCGATAAATCGGTGCGGTGGTCCATAACGAGGTATACCAGAAGTAACAACAAACAAGATTCGTTTTTTATTAATTAATCGTTTATAATAACATTGTGTGTGTTTTTTGTGGGCTCTCTTAAATCTTCTGTTTGCTCTTCATATATATGTATATATATATGTATATATATATGTATATATATATATATATATATAGAGCAGATGTTTTTCTTCTGTTTCTCTTACTTCACCTCGATCTAACAAGGAGTAAGATCGTCACGCACCGATTCATAGAAAAAACAAAGCGCAAGATTACTGAATGACAAACGTAGCTGGCGTTTCTCTCTCTTGGCATGCTTAAGAGACGACGCGATATATTTCCTTTTCATTATTTTTTTTTTCGTTTATATTGAAACGTATTATATAGTCGATTTGCGCTACCTCCTGCTCCCGCTTCATACGTTCTTAATGTCGACACGAGAGAAAGAATGACAATAATTGGCGACTAATTAACACTGTCCGGATAGCTTCGTAGCCTCCTCCTTAAACCGCCCCTCTGTCACTTTGATTCGTTATAGCGCTCTCTCCCTCCGTCAGTGAATCTTTCCTAGCGGAACGAAAGTCCGCGGTTCCCAGAACGATTGTCGTCGATCACGTCGGTATCCGTTTAAGATCGTACCAAGCCTGTGATTTTTCCCATCATTTCGATCTCAACAAACTCCTAAAATAAATTATATTCAGAGAATAAAACTGTCAAGTATAATCGCTAAATTTATCGCGTTTATCTTTCACAAGTACAATTTTTTAGGGCTTTTCAGGGCGTGTGAAGAATGAAGAATCAATTACGAAATGCTTTACTATCAGAGAACCACTCTCAGATAGTAAGACTTTGAAACGGACACTCCGACAGTATCGACGCTTGTCGACCTGGGGTGTGTATGTGTGTGTATGTGTCTTGTGTACGTGTGTGAATGCGCGGAGGGCGGGCGTTATATTTATTCTATTCGACACCTATATAGTAGGTGAAATCAACCCAGTGCCTTATGTCTAAAGGTATCTACGAAGACCGAAAGAAACGTCCGGAAAATTGTGAAGGATTGTTGGGCGCACCTGCGTTCCTTTCAGCATTCGAGAACTCGTTCGCACGCTCGCTCACTCACTCGTTCGTTCGCCAGTCGATTTCAGTCCTCGATGCCGATCGCCGCGATATCAAAAGAGCTATACGGATCGTCCCATTCAGAGGCTAAAAGTCGGTAACGATGAGAATGTACAATGAGATATACAGAGGCATGAGGCTCGATAAACGATCCCAAGAAATACTCAGTAGATCTGCCGCGACTGATACCGCTAAGTTGAGGCCGACGATCCGTCATCGCAATCGCGCAGAAGGAAAAGATTAACATTCATCTTCGATAAAACTTA